CGTTTCTCTGTTATTAATTTTACAATCATATCTATGCAATCAATAGATATGATCTCATTATCATGTCGTATGCGATGGTGAACATCCTTCAGAATATCTTTGATGACTTTACCTTTTATTATATCCCTTTGACTTAATTTGCAGTTGTTTACAGCCAAAGCTATATTTGGCAAGTTGTATGCGCTTTTTGAGCATATCTAGGAAATCTCTTTTTTTTATTTTTCTTATTTCAGGTCAATGTCAGCGAATTGGGCCTTGTAACTCCCGGCGGAAAAGTTGTTTGGGGAAAATACGCTCAGGTCACAAATAATCCAGAAAACGAAGGCTGTGTTAATGCCGTCCTAATCGTTTAATCTTATGTAAATTATATAACTATTCCTGAAGCTGTTTTCTATCTCACCACCCTATTCAAACTAGGAATTAGTGTTGGATCTAATCTGATGATAAATATTTCCTCAAAATCTATTGAACTCTTACCAAATTATTCCCAAGATATCTAAACTAGTCTTTTATTGGACTGATTGCATTTCTACTCACTGCTAAGTGTTAAAAAGGCTTGTTATTTTGCTGAATTTTATTCAACTTTTATTTAGTTATATAATCCAGACTGCAATTTTAACCTGAAATAGGTCCTAATGCGTCCTCAGCTGAGTTTTAACCATGGACGCTTGGACGAATAGCTAAATACGCTAAGCCATACTGTGCCAAATAAACTGCATCAATTTCGGCTTTCACAACCCTGGAAGTGTCGATGAAACAGGAGAGGTCGATAGGGTAATAATATTTGGGTAGGAACTGTTTTTTGCTGCCATTGGCTAAGTGGCATTCTCCTTATTTCTTGTTTTGACACGGAATTTTCATTTTTACACAAGAATCTGGCTTTTACTTGCTGTGAAACGAAAAGACCCCTTAGATATGATAACCAAGATCGTGTGGCCTTGTGTTAGATCGCAGTCTCATTTAGCTCTATATTGCTGGTTTTACCTTGTTTTCGCAACTTGGTAAGAGCGTCATGGACTAGCTACCTTCCACAAGGT